ATGAAATCACTGTTATCTGAATAATATCCTTTAATGTTCGTATAAGTGAAACTATAATAGTATTATTTTCACTTTCAGTTTGACCTGAGTTATGTGTACGTACCAAGTACAGCTGGAGAGCCGCAGTTTGCCGACCCCTGTGCTAGGTGATCAAGTGACAGGAGGAAATCACATAGGTGTTCATTGGAGCTGGGATTTGAAACAGGCCTGTCAGACAGTTTCCCTTCTGTGCAGTGGAGATTTTCTGCTGCTCTGGTTAGGAATTTGAAACCAGCAGCCGCTCCATGGAGAAAGAAGGGTCTTCCACTGCCATAAAGATTTACAATCCCGCAAACTCCCGGGACAGTGCGGCCACTGTGCTACAGGGTGGCTGTGAGTCAGCATTGCCTGCATGGCGCTCCCATGGCTTTGGGGTTTGGAGCGTGCCTTCCCCAGCAGCCCTGGTATTGGAATGGGGGTTATGTGTTGGGCTGCTAAGGACAAGAGGAGTAGTCCGAAACCCCCAGTCACTCCAAGGCTTTCTATTCCTGTCAGGAGAATACCCCCAGGGGCAGCTCTACCCTGCCCTATAGGGTGGCTGTGAGTCAGCATTGCCTCAATGGCCGTGAGAAGGTGCCCTCCCAGTGAGGCCTGGTTGGAGCCACTGCATGTTCCGCCCCTGCTTCTGATGATTCATGTTCCCTTGGACAACCCCGTTAGCGTCCTGAGGCCTCAGCGTCCCCACCAGTAACATCTGGTTGCTGATGAGAGTGCTTCTTGGGGTCTCCTGTGACTGGACCCGTTGGGACTCCTTGGCCCATGGGCTCTTTGCCAGCCTCTCTCTGGGCAACTCCTTCCCATCACTGTCTGTGGGATCAGGTGGTCTGCAAGCATCCAGTCTCGTCTCCTGAAAATGTGATGAACGGTCCCGTGCTTGAGATCGCATTCCAAGACTTGGTGGTTGTTTCCTGTTAGAAGTCAAAGTGTGAGGCACTGGTTGGTGACAGTACTTATTGATGACAGGCGGAGCCTGCCATTTTGCGCCATCCGTTCAGCTGTGGAAGGAGCCCTGGTGGCGCAGTGGTTAAGTGCTCAGGCGCTAACTGCTAAACCCTCCAGTCACCCACAGAATAAAGGGTGACAGCCAGCTTCCATAGAGATGACAGCCAGGGAAACCAGGCTTTGAACCCGTTCATTCTGTTTAAACTCCTGGCTGAGCATTTGTCTTCCCCCCCTCGATAGACTGGATCATGAAGCTACATGCTAACAAGATCGCCAGCGATTCTTAATAGCTCTCCAGGTAATTCTTTTGTGTCCTTAGGGATCATGTTAACACGTAGATTCTGATTTAGTATGTCTGGGGTGGGAAGGGAATTCTCAGCAGGGGAGAAAGCCAGGAGGAAGCAGTTAGAAGCTCTGCTTAGAAGGCAGCTCTGTGGGGTAGTTGACTGTCCTGTAGGGGTGCTACGAGTCAAAGTCTCCTCAATGGCGTGGGGTGTGGTTTGGTCAGCTACGGAAGGTTCACGTCAATAGGAATGTGTGCTCTGTGGGAATCCAACAAAGGGATTTATTGAGAGTCCACATTAGTTCAAACCAGGGACATGTCTCATCTCAACGTAACATAACATGCTCCAAACGGTGGGGTAACAGAGGCATAGTGACGAGGGAAAATCAAGGACTACAGGTACAGTGTTCTGGTTGGAAGATGCAAGAGCCAGGAAGCCAGAGGTGGGAGACTCCCTCGCAGCAGGTTAGAAACGTGAACGTGGTCTGTTTGTCGTGGTCAGTTGGGGAGAGGTTTGCAGAGTGATCCTCGGAAACACTGCATGAGGACTTCCGAGGGGCTTTCTGATAAAGATGTAGCTCAGAGCATTCTTTCTCTATCTTTCGTTGAACCACAATGTTAAACTATGTTGTATACTATGTTAAACTAGGTGTCCTTTGTTATATACTTCAGTCTGCCTAAGGATTTGACAATGGCAGGAGAAATCCTGGGTTACGTACTTAAGTCTGTCTAAGGGTAAAAAAGCAAAAGCTAAGATGGAATTGGGGCTCAAGACTGGCTGATACTCTGTTACAAGTACAGCGCCTCTCGTTTGGAATTCACACGCATCCCTTTTGAAGAGATTTAAAGGTTAAATAATGCCATGCAGCCAGCAAAGGAAGGTCACTCTTTTTATCCTGTCTCAGGTGGCGCCTTTTTTATGAAGGCTTTTTATAGCCTTCTTCCTTGGGAATAATTTTTTCTTAATTAAGGATTCTAATTTTAACATGAGCTCTGACCTCGTTCTCATTTCCAGAACCATTCTTTTGCTTTGATTGGATTTCATGGTTAAAAATGAAGATCGTTTGTTGTCTGTTATTTTTGTTTCCCTCCACAGAGAAGTTACTGTGGCAAACAGATCCTTATTAAGGTCAAGGGTTTTATCGTGCGTGCTACAGTTGTCAGTAAGGGTCATTGGGGTGTCTTGTTGAGATGCTACGGGGGACTTTAGATTCTTATTTGGGGCTGGGGCGAGGTATCTCACTATGATGAGGCTGTGGTTCGATGTTGTTCGAAGAAGGCGGTGTGGAAATAAGTCTGTGAAATTTGAGGCAGGAAGCAAAGAGAACAAGAAGTGCCCTGGAGAAGCTGGAGTTAGACAGTCAGCTCTCTGATAGGAGCTGCGTTACATGACAGAGTGTCCCTGCTCCTGGCTGTGTCTCCCTCAGGGCAATGACCTTCCTCGTTAGGAGCCTGCATGCTAAGGACAATTGAGGGGAGAGCTTTCTCTGTGACCCAACAATGGGTCTAAGGAATATACATGGGTGCACAAGGCAACTTGCACACAAATGTGCTCTACAAACCACTGCAGACAGCCTGGTGCCCATCAGTAGGGGAATGCACGAAATAACTAGGAATAAATGAACTGGAACTACATGTGACAAACTAAACCCCACACTGCAATGTTGGGCAAAATGATTGCAGAAGGGCATGTACAATTTAGGACCGTTTGTAACTCTTTGCCATCGAGCCTTTTCTGACTCCAACCAACCCCTGTAGAGTAAGGTGACCAGACGTCCCGCTTTTGGCGGGACAGTCCCGATTTTTAACAATTTTTCCTGTGTCCCACGGCGTTTTAAAAAAGTCCCGATTTTTTGAAAGAATGCACAACAAGCTAGGGTATACGGTTTTCGGCTGCCATGTGGCTATTTCGCCAGGATGAGTTTTATCAATGGTGTCCCACTTTACCAATGTTAAAATCTTGTCACCTTACTATAGAGGGTTGTGGAGGCTGTAAATCATTACGGGTGCAGACATCCTGAGCATTTTCCCTCAGAGCCCCTGGTGGGTTTGAACCACCGATTACTAGCCCAATATTTAACTCAGTGCCACGAGGGCTCCTTGGTACCACTCATAGAGGGTTTGAAATAAGCAAAACAACACTTACATATTGCGTGTGCTTACAAACCTATAGTAAAACACTAATGAAATGCAAAGGAATGATGAATTCCAATTTCAGAACAGTGGGATATCCAGGGTTGGAGTAGAAATGAGATTTAGGAGGAGTTAAAGGGAACTTCAGTGTTTTCTCTAATGTTTTCCTAAAATGGCTTTAAGCTGTGTACATTTAAAAACATTCGTTATGTTTTTTAATGGAGCGGAGCAAATGAGCTAACCCATGCTTGGCAGTTCACGTTCACTCTGGAACAGAGGCTCCTTGGGAGCAAGAGCTGGCAATCTACTTCAGAAGAATCAGCCGCTGGCAGCACGATGGAGCCCAGTTCCGCTCTGACACACACGGGTTGCCCTGAGTTGGAATCAAGTGGTATATCTTGAATGCCTGTGGAACGTCAAGATTTTACAGTGTGTTCTTCAAAAGAGGGTGTGTTTGGCCAACATTTTTACAGAAACAACTAGCTGGATTTTCTGGGGCTGATTGCCTTATTGTTTCCTGTTCCCCCATCCCTTAAGAGAAGACATGAAACCTCACATTACAGCTCTCATAAAGTTGGATGAGTGGAGATTAGAAATGACGGCCTAAAAGAAGTTTTTACATTTTGAGCATATTTTGTACATCGATTATGCATTAATAACTGGAGTTAAATAAAAATAAATAACTGGAGTTAACCGAGACAAACTTGAATTTCGGATAAAAAGATAAGAGTCTTCTGCCAAAGGGTGATGAAGAACTCAGGTGCTGGGTATCAGAAAAAACTGGCAGCTGGAGTCTTAAAGGCTTGTGTTAAAAGAAGCAGCCATCTAAGGGAGGGGTCAGCTAAGTCCACATGGAAAACGCCTGTATGATCTAAGCATTGTAAATAAAATCTAAAACTAGAGGAGGGAACTGTATTAGACCTGACATTCTGAGCATCCAGCTTACAGAAAACTATGGATGACAATGAAAGCCCCAAATCCATTTCCAGGGTCCCCAAGCGGACTAAGCCTCTGGAGAATCTCTGGCCATTAACCAGGGATATGAATAGCCTTGCTGTCAGACAGAGAGCATTGGAAAGTGATTAATGCAGACAACGTTAGGGTAACATTTAACACCTTATCATTTATTTTCCCTTTTGACTCATTTTTTGAACTCATTTTAAACTTCTAGTCTTTAATATTTTATGCTTATTTTTAAATTAATTTTTCTGTTTTCTACTGTTACTGTTATGGGGTTGGAGTGTATGTTTTATTTTGTATGAAATCCAGGATAGGTAAATCTTTAGGGATTTACCTATCTGGATTAGGGTTATGTCAGGGGAGATTCAGGGGAACTAGGAAGCTAGTGATAATGAAGGAAGTGTTCTAAAATTGATTATGGTGATAATTGTTTAACTCTTTTTATTATGTTTTTTAAAATATGTTTCAACCATTGGATTACATGGTATGTGAATTATATGTCAATAAAACTGTTAAAAATTTCTTTTAAATCTTCTGCCGCAGTAAGGAAAGGAAGAGGAAATTTCCCTCAAAGGGACCATGGAAATATCGCTTTTGTCCCCCTCAGGGGAGTGGATTAATGGTATTTCTTTTGCGTTGACAGCATGGCCGGACCCCCCTGCATCTTGCTGCCAATAAGGGCCATCTCTCTGTGGTCCAGATCTTGCTGAAGGCTGGCTGTGACCTCGATGTCCAGGATGACGTGAGTAGAAGCCATCCTTCTCTCAGGGTGGGTTGGCAGAGTGTAACCAGTTAACAGATGAGAAGGTGGTCGATCCTTTCCTACCACTTTTCACCTCCATCTTGGTCACCGATTGTTGGAAGAACTTCAGTCTGAGATCCTTGCTCCGGGAGTAAGTTCGAATTTGGTTCCCATGGGGTGGTTTTGGCATAACTCATTCTTTACCTATTATAGTTCAAGTACAAATCCCTGATGGGCATTTTTTCCTGTGTCCAGGACCAATAAATGGTAACACACACACACACACACACACACACACACACTGAATGAGTATAATCAGGACTTTCTGGAAATGCGTGTCATTGACCAAGCTTACTACTGAAAAAGAGGTGGAGCTGAAACCTTATATTTATCCCTTTTCTCATCTTGGTTCTGTAAATCAGTGGACAGTTAGTTGAGAATCAGTTATCCCGATCAACTCAGGAAAATAAAAGTTCATGGGATCTAAGAAAAGGAAGGCCCATGTTGAGAGTTCCCTCTAGTGGACCCTCCAGTTCGTGCTGGGTGATACTTGGGTGCCAACTCAAGTTGGTCTCTGAGTCTCTGACTTCTCTGAAATCAAGTATTCATTCCTTAGTCAATCCTCACCACCTGGGGTGCTGTCATGGAGTATCTTTGGGGTGGTGTCATGTCGCACCCTATTTGGTGGAAGATGGGTTCTCAAGAAGGGGTTGTAGAAAGGAACAGGTAAATTGTCCATTAGACCTCTGAGCATATTTTCAGAAACTGTCCCAACTCTTAATGTGTGTAGTAAGATTGTGATAAATAAGAACACAATAATATCTTGGAAAATTCACTCTCTTCACAGGTTTACTTATTATAACCTGTGGTTATAGCATGTTATTCAAATTTCAGACCCTCAAATGTGCTAAGTGGTAGGTTACCAGAGTGTTTCCAGCTTTTCTTGGGTTTCTGTATAATGTTCTAAAACTTGATAAATATACTCACAAGTGACAAGGACAGCATTTTCCAAGAAACAACAGAGTGTGTCATTGCTTTAAGCATGGGTTGGTGTCTTTCATAAATCCCCAATTATTTCTGGAAGCCATTGACTCATCAAAAATGTTCTCAAAATGCTGACTTAGCAGTAAGCTGTGGATTTGTACCGTGGCTCACAGTCCCCTCTGTGCTAGCCATCCTAGCACTCTTGATTGTATGATATCATAGATGACAGGAGAGGGACAGCGTTCTGGCCACAGAAAAGGTGGGCATTGAGTTGCAGTTGCAAACATGCTCAGCTGCATCTTGTCTTCTCTTTGAATAATTAAAGCTCTTGCTTGCCTTGGTGGCAAGGCTACCATGCCAGGCATGCTGACCCCATCCCAACCCAGTGCCACCACTGCCTCAGGTTGTTAGCCCCAAGTAGCATTATGTTCTCATCTAATATGCTAGAACTTCTGCTTCTTGTATCAGGCAAGGTGGGAAGTAAGATAGGCAGGGGTTCTGATATGATTGCTATCTTAAGGCTCTCTGGAGAAACAATGCTATACAAATATATGAAGAGAACACGCTTCATGTGTGTTATGTAAAGAT